TGAATTCAAATTTGAATTTGAATTCAAAATTGGCACCACTTTTGAGTGCACATGGGATGGCTCCAAAACTCCTTTGATATGTGGCTTTAAATGCTTGAAACCTTCACTCTTGTAAACACTTTTGAATGAATGAGAATTATGAATTTTACTTCAGCCAAATTCTCTCCAAGAGTCACGGAAACCTCACCCACTCTAGTTCTAGGAAAACCTCCATTCCTAAACTTGAAAGTGAGCTTTCCTTTGGATCTTTAGCTTGGATGCTTCCATCCTTAGCTTAGGGATTCTTCTACCATTCCAATCATCTTCTTCCACCATTTGAACTGTGGCAAGCTCAAGGAAAAGGTATTCACATTCGGAGAAGATCACAAGAATCAAGAATCAATCCATTGCTTCAACCTAACTCCATCATATTCTTAATGGTCACTTTATTTAGTTACCTATAGTCTACGCATAACCTCATGCTCCCATCTTTCTTCTTAACCAATAAAATAGGCGCTCCCCAAGGCGAGACACTAGGCCTAATGAATTTTTTTCCTTGTAGTTCATCTATTTGTTTCTTAAGATCAACTAACTCTTTAGGGGACATCCTATAGGGTGCTATAGATATAGGTGAGGTACCTAGCACTAAGTCTATGCTAAACTCAATCTCTCTCTCAGGTGGTAAACTAGACACATCCTTAGGGAATACTTTTAGGAATTCTCTCACTAAGGGAATCTCATCTAGCTTACTATCAGTCTCAAGTGTTAAGGAAGCTAAGATCATGTACACTCTTTCATTTTCCTTTAAACAAGTTTTAATGTCAGCAGCACTAAGAAATTCCGTACTCTTACATTCACCAAAGGAAATAGATTTCTCAAAGCAGTTTAAAAGGACATGGTGAGAAGATAACCAATCCATACCAAGAATTACATCTAATTGACTAAGAGGCAAACAAATTAAGTCAACTAGAAACTGCTTATCAGAAACTGTCAAAGGACATTTCAAACATACTAGGGATGTAGTCACAAGACCATTAATAGGGGTTTCAACAACTAAATCAAAATCTAATAAAGGCACAGGTAAATTCAATTTTGGGACACAAGAGACAGAAATAAAGGAATGAGTTGCACCAGAATCAAATAGTACAACAAAAGGAGTCTTAGCTATGAAACAAGTACCTCGTATCAAATTTTCTGACAGAGCAGCTTCAGCACCACTAAGAGCAAATACTCTCCCTACAGTATTTGGATGCTCAATTTGCGAACCCGATCCAATAACACGTGTTCTTGGTGGTTCAGGACATTGGGTGCTGATGTGACCTTTACCATTGCAGTTGAAGTAGGTAATCTCCTTGTCACGACACTCAGACTGATTATGACCAACACGTCCACACTTCCCGCATCTTCCTGAAGGAATGGACACAGACCCTCTAACACTTCCGGTAGCACTAACAGTGGATCCTCTAGTAAATGACTTGCTTCCATTAGCAACAACTTTACTCCCTTGAAATCTAGTAGAAGCGGAGTAAGGCTTCCTCCTACCCAAAGTACTAGAACTCACAGCACGGATAGGACCTCCAACTCCTTTATAGAAAGCAGCACAAGCATGGTTGTCACGATCATAAATGTTGCACTTATTGACCATAGTGGGAAAGTGATATATCTCCTGATAGTTAATTGCAGTTTTCACTTCAGGACGCAGACCATTTACAAATTTTATGCATTTAGCTCTTTCACCACCCTCACCATGGTAGTGTGTACAATAACGAACCAAAGCATCAAATTTGGCAGCATATTCTGCAACTGTGTCGTTCCCTTGTTCAGCTCAAGGAATTCTATTTCTTTCCGACTCCTCACATCATTCGGGAAATACTTCTCAAGAAAGACCTTCTTGAAGTTGTCCCAATTCAAGTGCACCCCTCCATCAATCATCCTTCGAAGTGCTCCTTCCCACCAAAAGTGGGCATCAACAGTCAACATGGAGGTGGCCAATTTCACCTTCTAAGCGAGGGGAAAATCCATGACATTGAAGATCTTCTCAATCTTTGTTAGCCAATTCAGCATCTGAGTCATATCCTCCTTTAAAGGTAGGTGGGTGATTTCCCTGAAATTGCTCCAACCAGTTAGGAGCGACTCTAGCCCTATTGTTATTATTCATAGCTTGTGCTAATGCTTGAAGAGCATCAGCAATCACACGATCATTTCTACCAGCCATAGACTAAGAAAATAATACAATTAATAAACATAATCAATCATCACCCTAGCATACCAACAGGTTCCGCAATCAATTCAGTCCATCATTCATTTACCAGAAAAGCATAGTAAACTCATAACTTACAGCCGATTGGATCAACCTACTCTGATACCTCTAAATGTGACACCCTCTACCCCATCATTAATACACAATAAATGTAAACAATTTTTTTCTTTTTGAAAAAATAAAATATTTCATAGTTGACAACATCTTTCATGGATAAAACAATTGTCTGAAATATCATAAGGTAGAAGATTCACATTCGTATCTCATAAATCATAAAAAGTCAACATGTAAGTATCAAAATTCAAGAAATCATATAAAGGAAAATATAGGTTAATTCCAGCAAAGGTGGCAGTGCCTCCTAGTTAGAAATTAATTTATAACTTCCAAATCATGTAATAAAAATAATATGACAAAGATGCACATTTTGGTCTTTTATCAAGAACGTTCAAAATTACAAAAGAAAAGGAAATTAAGGCTTTTAAAACAATAACATCCTAAACTAAGCCTATCTATGCCCGATGTCACATCCTATCAGAGCATGCCCAACTGAAGCCTTAAGCCTCATCACCAACATCCTCATGATGATGATCACATGCAACATAATTTAAACATATACAAGAATAACAAGGGAGTGAGAAACATCTCACTCAGTTTCAGGTGCAGAAATAAAGGTTAGATAGCACACACAACAATCATAAGTCATAAACAGTAATCATATATAAACAATACTCATACATGATCAGTATCACATGTACAACCAATTATCATGCTATGATATCATGGACTCGACTCATAAATGCATGCATGTGGCGCCATACGAAAGTTTCACATTTCATCACTGGTGATCCTAAGGTACACCTGGTTACATCACTGGTGACCCTAAGGTACACCTTGTTAGCTTGTTACATCACTGGTGACCCTAAGGTACACCTGGTTACATCATTGATGACCCTAAGGTACACCTAGTTAGCTTGTTACATCACTAGTGACCCTAAGGTACACCTAGTTAGCTTGTTACATCATTGGTGACCCTAAAGTACACCTGGTTACATCACTGGTGACCCTAAGGTACACCTTGTTAGCTGGTTACATCACTGGTATGCGGCCTCAGCAGCACACCTGGAGTTATATATGTATATGATGCATGTCATACATTCATTATTTCATTGACTCAACATTTAACTTATTACAGAATTTCATTTAGTACATCATGTCATCATTTTTCATATTCTCATAATCATAGCTTGTCTCAATAGTCCATTCTTATGTCTCATGTTATTTGTGCATATTTCATATAGTCATGTCATAATTATTCCTCATTATAAGGTCCGCACAGGAATCCCCAAAGAGCATTCTTATTCATATTAAAACATTTATTTTTAACATTAATTACATATTCATTTATTACTTCCAATAAGGAACAAAGTAGAGCAAACAGAAAATAAAACATAACACATTAATACTTTGCATGTTCCTAGAAGCATGCAACAGGCAAGGGATTGAAGGCCAATCCGACAATCAGACTATCCAACAATTATTCCCACACCCCCGGGCGAGGTTTCTCACTCCCCCTTTACCTGGATAAGCAGGAGCTGAAACCAGAGCAGAACCTTGCTAATCTCCTCCTTTGGATTCCCTCTTTCTTTCTCTCTCTTTCTTTCTTTTTCTTTCTCTCTCTCTCTTTCTTTTTCTCTCTCTAAGTTTTTACCTTTGGTCAGTTATAATTTTTCACAGCCCCTCCCTCCTATATATAGGCATTCAGGGGTACCCGGAACGACCCGTACTGAATCCAGAATGGCCCGTTCTGGAGCCATGCATTATAGGAAAAATTTACAACTGGAATGGCCCGTTCTAAAATAAGAACAGCCCATTTCCAAAAATCAGAACGTCCCGTTCTAAAATCAGAACAGCCCGTTCTGGGGTTCATGTTAACACACATTACCATAATTGGAACGGGCCGTTTCCAACTAAGATTTTTAAGCATTTTTAGAATCTTGGAACGACCCGTTTCACTTTAGGAATGACTCGTTCTGGAATAACAAAAATTGGCTTATTTACTAATTTGGAACGGTCCGTTCAACTTTTGGAACGACCCGTTTTGCTACTTCAAAAATAGTTTACTTTCATCGTTTAGAACGGCCCGTTCCACTTTTGGAAGAGCCCGTTCTGGCCTAAAAAAATAGAATTTTATATAAAAAATTTCATAAATAATTTAAATTATTACAAACCTTTACAGTATTCTATAAAACCCTTTAATTAACTAAAATAACTATAAAAAAAATAGTCTTCATAAATATAAAAATAAATAATTATTAATATTGTATCAGTAGATAGTTGAACAATTTACAATTTACACTTAGTAGATAGTTGAACTCTTTAAATATTTAGCACGATAGAGTTCGATAACGTGACCGTGTAAATATGGAAAACATTATTGAAACAAATAAAATATAATTTGGTGATTCTTCATCCAAAAAAAGTTAGTCTGCAATTATCTATCAAAGAATATTAATTTAGTGCAAAACAAAAAAAAATTAAAATTATATATTAAAAAAATATAAATAAATCTCTTATTTTTGTCCCTCTATATACATCTAAAGTAAAAATTTTGTAACAACCAAAGTTGGTTGAGTGATAGAAATGGAAAAGTATATTCTGCCCAATAGGTTTAAACTTTAACTACGATGTTTTCTTTCTTTTTCCCGCTTTACGCTTATCATGTCTCCCTTATGTTCTAGACTCAACTGCCATCTCACACCACCTTCTTCTTTTAACAAAATCCTCTCTTTGTGTGAATCTGGAACCAAACACTGCCTTAGATTTCTGATTCTGTCGCAGAGATTTTAGTGCTATGATCTTTGCAGCTGCATGTGTGTGTGTGTGAATTTTCTGAAGTAATCTGAGACGAACAAAGGAAACAAAAGAATTTCAATCATGACGAATTAATTTTCTCTCTCAGCTTCTATTGAGCAACCACAAGAACCTCATTCTCTGCACTCGTATCGTCATCGTCAACAGCTCATACGGTAGACTTTATTTACAAATTATTTCAAAATCTTTAATATTTTGTGATAATTTTTAATTTAATTATGATTAATTTTTTTTAATTCCTATACTTTTATGTTTTGTTTGGAATAGGAGAAAAAATTTAGGAAAATGAAAGAAAATAAATGAGAATTGATATGATAAAAAAAAGTAAAAATTAGTGTAAAATATATAGTTATTTGATAGAGTAAAATTAAATTAAAAACTATTTTATAAATATATTTTTATAGTTAAATATTTATACAAAAATATATTATTTAAATAATTACATTTTTATATTTTACTAATTAACTATTTAATGTAGAGGTAGTCTTGTTTATATATTTATTTTATAGAAAATTTCACATAAATCCACTCTTAAGAAAGTGGAATTAAATCTACATGATTAGTACGTACCACAATTTTCTGGTAAATTTACTTAAATTATCTCTTTTCAACACGTGTTTTTTCTTAATTCCTTGATAATCTCCTTTCTTCTCCATTCTCTGGTAAATCATCTCTCCTAAATATATCATAACTTACTTTACATTTTAATTTTTATAATTTAAAATAAATTTTTTAATTTATATATTTAATTCTTTTCACCATAATTACAGTTTTTAATCTTTTTAATGTTGTCTTAAAGTTTTTTTTTTTATTTTGTCTCTTTTATCTAACGATATTAATTCAATAATAATAATAATAATAATTCTTTTATATTTTTACTTGCAATATCTATTATTAGTATATGTTTTAATATAAGCTGAATATTTGATGTGTAGGTTACATTATAATTCCGACTGAAACGTTTGTAGCGGAGAGAAGCTTCGAGTGAAATCTTAAAGCTTTCGAGGTACTGTGGACTCTCTTTCTTTTTATCTATAACAAAGGGAATATATATATATATATATAAATAATCGATTATCTATACAAATAATTGATTATTTGTATCAGTAAAATCAGTTTGAAAACCTTGTCTGCACTAAATAATCAATTATTTTTGGAATAATCGATTATTGCAGAGACTCTTGTCTCATTTTTGCTCCTAGATAATCAATTATTTCTAGAATAATTGATTATTCCAGAGACTGACTCTTTCTAACCTTCCCAGATAATCGATTATTTTCATAATAATCGATTATTTGCCTAGTCTTACTTAAAATAATCGATTAAATTTTACAGTAATCGATTATTTCAGAAAAGTTTTGTTTCACTACTTTAAACCTTATAAAACTTTCCTTATCCATTTCAAGTTTTCAACTCTTAAAAACACTCTTTTATAAACCACACTTCAATGTTTTATACACACATCAATCAATTTTTATTCAAACAATCACACTCAAGTGCACATTCATAATCAATTCAAACAAGACTCATTGATAATTCCAAGTTCAATTCTCAATTGATTAAATCTTTCTTTTGGTAGAGGTTTTGTAAATATATCAGCTAATTGTTTATTTGTTTCAACAAACTCTACTACACAATCATTCTTTTGGACATGATCTCTTAAAAAATGATGTCTTATTTCTATATG